TCTAACAACAAACCTCTCCGGTGAGTGACTGTGGGTGCCCCGACTGCCTTTTTGGGCATTGTAAGGGAAGAGCTCGGCCCGGCCGGTGTAATTGCCGCCGCGGTCATCGCGGACGCCGCCGCCATTGCAACTGAAGCTGCTCCTCCCCGAAACGGGAAACGGGGGAAAGGACAGGCCGGCGAGCTCGGGCCGCTGCTGCGGCCGCCATCGCTATCTTCGCGGTCGCTGGAGTCGGTTGGAGTCGCCCCCTCCTCTTTGAGCGCTGGGAGGGTGTGAGTTGCGGCTCGTCGATCTGAGTCGCCGCCGTCGCATTGCCGCTGGACCTGCCCCCCCCTCGACCATTGGGAAGGACGAGCCGCGGCTGCCTGGCCTGTGTTACTGCCGAGGCCGCTTTTGCGGCAGCCGCTGGTATCGCGGCCATCATCGCTGCAATCTCCCCCTGTCTATCGGGGGGCTGTCCCCGCACCTCGGCGTTCCTCTACACCTCGGCGTCCCGCTTTTGGCGGGGGCCTGGGGGGCAGCTTGACCAGATTCCCTTGTCTGTGGTGCTGCGACTCCTCCAAGTCTCTGGGTGGCACTGTCTCTGTGCTCCACCTTGGTTGGACTCCTCGGCGCGTCCTGGATGACGACATTTCCGCGCCATTAAGGGGCCGCCGCCGTACTCCACCTTGCGGAACGCCAGGAGCGGCCTGATTGGACTCCCTCCATCGAAATTAGAGTGAACCTAACCAACAGAGCAGACATCTGGAGCGTAGCAGTTCCCCCCGTGCCCTCTATTCTGGTCGTTATTAAAGGTTACCACCACCTTGAGGCGGGAAGTTCATCGCTGGTTGGCTGGAGTCATAGCTGCTGTTACAGAGTTACCATCAGCCGCCTTCTTTGAGATACCATCTATTGTTGTCATTCTTCATCTATCGCCTCCATTCCGGAAGAAACGTTACCAACTTAACATCACATTATCTACTAGCATCAGATTCGAGTAGCCATTGAGCCCTTATCCACCATTCCTTGTAATGTTCTATCGTCTTATGGACTCTCATAAGATCTTTACCCTTGACTCTGCCCTATGTTGATGCATTGGGGGGAGGGGGTTAAATGGGAATCAGTTTTATCTATAATTGAGGATTGATTATACAAATACATCTTGTTGCACTGTTGACACATTATTATTATTACGACCATCTTGACCAACGCTGCCAAATTCTCCGTCTGCCAGCACTTTAAGCTACCAGGCATAATTTGCACTTTGGATCTTGGATCCCTCAATGCTAAGTGCACTTTAATCCTTGCACTTTAATGCCATTAAGCCTCCATTACAGCACTTTAACTGTTACCAACGGGTTAGACTAAAGCACCTTATTGCATCTTGCACTTTAACACCTGCTGATACTTGAAGCTAGTGACTTGTACCAACGTTGCCCCAGCGCTGTTATCCATGTCGGCTCTCATCCTTTGGTATTTGTTAACAACATTGTTGATAAACTGGGAAGGGAATAGAGGGTGTAGTGGGGGGCCAGATCCTAGAAATAGCATTGCAAGGTTAAGAAAGGATTGGAAGGAGGTGGTATGGCACAAAGAGAAGTCATTAAAACAAATAATTTGGAAAGAACTATGGGATGAAGCCACAAAGTTGAAGTGCAATATGGACGAAGAGAGGTATTCCATTGGCCGAGGGGTCCCCATAGAAACCATAACGGGGAGGCGGAGATGCGGGAAAGGGAGACCGCCAATTCGGCCTAGAGATAACGGAAAATTTAAAATAACTCAAATTCGGCTTAGGGATAGAAAATGAAATTTAAGAACTTGTAATCGGTCTCCTGACATGGTAAGTGGGTGTACCAAGGATGGCGGTCCCTCTGGGTTGAAGGTGGTGCTGCTGAACGCCAGATCTGTCAACGGAAAAACATCTTTCATCCAAGATATAATTCTGGAGGAGCGGGCAGATCTGGCGTGCATTACGGAGACCTGGTTGGACGAAGCTGGAGGAGTAAATTTGACCCAGCTTTGTCCACCAGGCTTCTCCGTACAGTACCAATCGAGACCTGGAGGGCGGGGAGGCGGAGTTGCGGTTGTCTATAAGAATTCTATTCCCCTGACCAGAGGCCCCATCCCGCAGTCAACTAATTTTGAATGTGTCTACCTGAAGGTGGGTGACCGGGACAGAATAGGGATTCTGTTAGTGTACCGCCCACCTCGCTGCACTACGGTCTCCCTACCTGAGCTAGCAGGGGTGGTCTCGAGCCTGGCATTGGAGTCCCAACGGCTTCTTGTGCTGGGGGACTTCAATGTACATGCCGAGACTACCCTAGTAGGAGCGGCTCAGGACTTCATGTCTTCCATGGCAACCATGGGGCTGTCCCAACAGATATCTGGCCCCACTCACAGTGCTGGACACACATTGGACTTGGTTTTCTGTCAGGGATGGGAGCAGAGTGGCGGTGTTGAGGAGTTATCCATCTCTCCGTTGCCATGGACCGACCACTTTCTGGTCAGCTTTAGACTTACTGCACCTCCCAACCTCTGCAGAGGTCGGGGACCCATTAAGTTGGTCCGCCCCAGGAGGCTTATGGATCCGAATGGATTCCTGATGGCTCTTGGGGATTTTCCCGCTTCCTTAGTTGGTGATCCTGTTGACGCCCTGGTGTCTCTCTGGAATAGGGAGATGACTAGGGCAATAGACATGATTGCTCCGGAACGTCCCCTCTCAAGTAGCCGAGCTAAACCAGCTCCTTGGTTCACCGAGGAGCTGGCAGCAATGAAGCGAAGGAAGAGGAGACTAGAGCGCGCGTGGCGTTCGGACCCGAGCGAGTCAAATCGAACACGGTATGTCGCTCTTCTCAGGGCATATGCCGTGGCAATAAAGGCGGCAAAGAAATCTTTCTTTGCGGCCAATATTGCGTCCGCAAAGAACCGTCCGGCTGAGCTGTTTCGAGTTGTCAGAGGTCTATTAAATCCCACCACTTCGGATGGGAACCCTGACAACTCGACGGCCCGCTGTGAAGCATTTGCTCGGTTCTTTGCGGACAAAGTCGCTTTGATCCGTTCTGACCTGGACACCATGTTAACGGCAGTCTCAGAGGATGTAACACGAGCATCTGCTTATCCGATTTTGTTGGATTCATTTCAATTGGTGAAACCTGAGGATGTGGACAAGATACTTGGAGGAATGAGGGCAACCACATGCATCCTAGACCCCTGCCCATCCTGGCTTCTAAAGAAGGCCAGAGGGGGATTGGCCGAGTCGTTGAAGGTGGTGGTTAATGCCTCCCTTCAGGAAGGCAAAATTCCAGCCAGCTTAAAACAAGCTGTGATAAAACTGCTGTTGAAAAAACCATCACTGGATCCCACTCAATTCGTCAACTATCGGCCTGTTTCCAATCTCCCCTTTTTGGGCAAAGTCCTGGAACGTGTGGTGGCCTCACAACTCCAGGTATTCTTGGTAGACACTGATTATCTAGATCCGGCACAGTCTGGTTTCAGGCCGGGACATGGTACCGAGACAGCCTTGGTCGCCTTAGTGGATGATCTGCGCAGGGAGCTAGACAGGGGGAGTGTGTCCCTGTTAGTTCTGCTGGACCTCTCAGCGGCCTTCGATACCGTCGACCACGGTATCCTTCTGAGACGCCTCGCGGGAATGGGCCTTGGTGGCACTGTTCTGCAATGGCTCAGGTCCTTCCTAGAGGATCGTACTCAGAAGGTGTTGCTGGGGGACAACTGCTCTTCCTCACAACCATTGTCTTGTGGGATTCCGCAGGGTTCAATATTGTCCCCCATGTAATTTAACATCTACATGAAGCCGTTGGGAGAGATCATCCGGAGTTTCGGGGTGCGGTGTTATCTGTACGCAGA